CTGTAGATCTCGGCCCAGTACTTGCAGACAATAAAAATGAACAGAGCAGGGGCCGCTGGAGTGGGGGTTTAAAGGCTACCCTCTGAGCCCTTTTAAGGCTCATCTGCAAGGCCCGTGTACAAGCCAAAAACATCCTGCGCATGATGGCATGGGGTAAAGAGAGAGTTGACGGCATGGGAGGGAGAAACCGAGATGACTTCCTATACTTGATAGCTTATTCTGAGGGCAGCAAGAGTGCTGCCTAGGTCTACTAACTTAAGACGGCAAACAGTTGCTAAGGTTGATGACGATGATGATGATGATGATGATGATGATGATGATGATGACGAGGATGATGGGGATGATGGGGTTGAAACAACCACCAACTCCGTTCAGCCATCTGCATTGGACCACCGTTTGCGCGTGTGCTTACTCGTTCAAAACCGCTGTAACTCTGCGCATGGAAGAGCGTCTGAACTCCCGCCTCGAGGCTCTTCAGTGACCTCGCTCGTTAAATTAACCCATTTGATAATTTCGATTACATTCAGCGATGTGGCGGTGTATGTACACTTACCCTGACAGCGAAGACCACAGCTTCCCCCCTGCTGGTTTACCAGTGCTACGGCAAACGAGGATGCACAATCCAGCATGGCTGCCAACTTGCCAAGGTGATAAAAACACAATCGAGAACTCTTGCGCTGGCCAGTACGACTTACAGAATACACGGTTTGTTCAATTTGACGACCACAAATGTGGATGAATTACCCTTCTTGCCCATCTGCTCAGGCAACAACATCTCATGCATGGCTGTCGTCGAGTTCGTTCGCTTTTCTGCTTTCCTCGTGCCACGGAGAAAGTCTCGACGAGAAACCAGCCCAACCTATGTTTCTGTTTCGTCTTAAGCGCTTAACGCATTTCGTGGTAGTGTCGCCAAATTATCCTTTGCATTACCCGATCTCACCTTATACTAGCTTCCATGCATCCGTGGCGCTGCCCCCGAGTCTGCTTTCAAGTTCACAAGAACCAACCGATGCCTCCGCTCATCTTCGAGCGCATCTTTTTCCATCTTCCTCCTCCTCTCTCTCTCTGCAATCTTTGCAAGGGTCGACCGCCCCATCTCGTACGTTCCGAAGCTTACGATGGCCATGGGTATCACTTTGAGCGAGGCGGGGATGATGCCCTTGTACAGATTGCACACGCCACCCGACGATATCGACGTCAAGGCATGCACGAGGTTTTTGTACTCTGCACCTGTTTGCATGCGGCGCGTCACGAGCTCCAGAGGAAAGGACACTAACTGCCCAAGAAATGCCGACGTAGCACCGCATGCGAGGGCAGGGAGCAGTTCCACCTCCTCCTTTTTGGTGACGTTCTGGTACACACGTTTCAAGATGTCGAAGGCGCCATAACAGATGGCCGCCTCGGGCATGATGGCAATGACACTCGAGCCCAGGCCTGCAGAATGCGATTGCCATTGCGAAAGCCATGTGCATCAGTGCCACATTTCGTACCGGTTGAATTCTTGGAAATTATTTTTCTAAACATTGTGACTCTTTTGTTCCATCTTTTTTGGGTTCTCCTTTTGTTCGTCCGGGATCTACTTGCAACTATTCATAGCTTTTTCTGCCCTAGATTGGCAACAAGAAGACTTTTTTTTTTTTTTTTTTTTTTTTTTTTTTTTTTTTTTTTAACAAGAAGTCTTTATATCAAGTCACATCAACAAAGAAACGATCTTTAGGAAGGTAAGAAACTCGACATAGCTAGCAGCAGAGGAGCGTCGGACCTTCTGTGTGTGCGCACAGAATGTTGATCACGGACACAGAGATAAATTGATCGGGTTGTTAAAAAAAGAAAAAAAGGAAAAAAAAAGAAAGATAAATGGATAGATATAGATAGATGAGACAACCACAATGTGCCATCGCCACCTTCTTCCCCTCAACGTAACACCCCATCAACATGCATGTATACAAACTCTCTTCTGGTCCAAGTACAGTCAAAATGATAGGGGTTATGTTTGCAGGAAGAAGGTTGCCTGTATCTTGTCTTGTGAGCTTAAGGAGTCAAGCCAGCAACTTCTTCCTTTCAGACTCGGACACATAGATCGATGAATAGATAGATGAGACCCCATCAACATGCATGTATACGAACTCTCTTCTGGTCCAAGTACAGTCACCGTGATAGGGGTTATGCTCAGGGGTAAGAAGGATGCATGTATCTTGTCTTGTGAGCTTAAGGAGTCGAGCCCGTAACGTTTTCCTTCCAGACTCGGTCACACTTGTGGAAACAGTTCAATTGCATTTTCTTTTTCGAAATTAGCACATCGAAATTATAATACCCATCTATCCCCTCTACCCCTGCCCATGATGAGTACACGTGACAGACCTAGAAATCATCGGACCATTCTCAACACACAGCCCACACACAGACACTCAACACTCATCAGACCCCTAAAGGCCAACCACTCGAGCAATCCTCCCCCCAAAGCCCGCTACCAGCATACCACAATCATGGGCCTAACCTCTTGGGTGGTGCGCAGGCAATGCCTGTAATAAGTACCATGCGTCAGCTCAAGGGGGGTGTGCGAATCGCTGGGCGCTATCAAAGCACCTAACGGCGGATGTGCACGACGCCGCAGAGTTTTGAACCTACACTCCACTTTCACACCTTATCTTCTTTTTTTTTTTCGCTTAAAAAAAAATGAAATACAGAGCCTTGTGGCACTGGCTCCATATCCGTTCTGGGGAGCGTCAGTCCTGTTCCTATTCCGCCGGCAAGTCAAAGGTACATCGTGGACTGCTAGAGGTGCCTGCTCTTATCAGCACCTCTAGCACACCCGGCGGAGTTTACATTGGAAAAAAAACAACAACAAAAGGTACATCATGCACTCACGCCAGCGCTTCTCCCCTTTATGGTAGGAAGACCCAAGTGGACAGCAATTCCGCGGCATTGATTACTTCCGATTAATTTTTTTTCCCCCTTTTTTTTTTAATGTGCAGGGGCCATGCTAATCTTTTCTGTATCCTCCAGCGGCCCAGCTCGGTTGGTTGGGCACGCAAGTGCGATTCAGGAGGTTGTGCGTTCGAGCCCCACAACCGCCTGCACTGCACTTAGTGCCAACCAGCGGTGATAGTCCGCTTGATACCTCTGATCGGTATTAGCAGGGTCCTTGGCCAACACGGGTGTGAGTGTGAGTGCGAGCGTGAGCGGGTTGTGTGTGGTGTGTGGGAGAGTGTTGGACTTAGACACTGCTGTTATTCGGTTGGGGGTGGGGGACGATGAAAAGGGAAGCGCAGCTACTGGCAAAATGCTCGGGCTTTGCGTTAGCCGGACCCCCACCAGCGGCCCCATCCCATCCTTGATCACCATGGTTGGGGCGGGGGGCAACATGCACCCCTCTGACGGCTGGAGGGAGACAACAAAGCTAATGTTCGCAGGGGTCCCCTGTATAACCCTTAGGAGTAGTGGTAGGTAGGGAGTGAAGGTGAATTGAAAGAATTTGAAAGATGATGAAAGATTTGAGAGAAGAATATAGCATAGTTTTTTTTTTTTTTTTAAAGAGTCGAAATATATATATATATATTATATATATCGTCAAATAGAACTGCCCGGTAAACCGTAGGCAGAGAGGGAGAAGAGGACAACAAACGAGGGGCTGTGACAAACTGTTTCATCGGAGTTTCGTCACAAACAGAACTGCCCGGTAGAAAACAATGCGCGCTATATATATTGTCACATCACTACAAACTATATATCGTCACAAATAGAACTGCCCGGTAAACCGTAGGCAGAGAGAGAGAAGAGGACAACAAACGAGGGGCTGTGACAAACTGTTTCGTCGGAGTTTCACCGACTCATATATATATATATATATATATCGTCAAATAGAACTGCCCGGTAAACCGTAGGCAGAGAGGGAGAAGAGGACAACAAACGAGGGGCTGTGACAAACTGTTTCGTCGGAGTTTCACCGACTCATCAGGA